TTTGGGTTCCCAATTTGAAGTGCAGTCGAAGAAACTTGAAAGTACAAGTAGTAAGTATGTAAATGCTGCGGTGAAGATGGGTGTCACTATCTTACGAGACTTGACTGTAAGCTATCATACATGGAGCGTGGGGGGTGATCTGGATGTATTAAAGTGGCGCCGCATACCACACAGGGGTAAATTTGGATTTGATCTTGCCCATGATGAGCCCCTCTTCTCCACACTTCATCTCACCAAAAGTTGCAAAAGTCGGCTGAGAGTACAGAGGCTTATCTTGTGAAACGATTATCCGCGCATGTCACAGCATGGACCAATCGCATTTGAACGCCACTACAATTCTGAATGAACTAGAAGGCGTAAGGGCACATCAAAATATCAAGAAACGCGGAGTTTGGTTTTTTGCATTGGCCACGTCACACCATCATGCTCGACGCCCGCATAGACCTGTCCTCCCCGTTCTCGCCGAAAGGAAACATTTTCAAAGTCCAGTCTGATGCATATAGAAGAACATGAATCAAAAAACTCCAAAAAGACCTTTCCTCAAGTGAAAAAGAAATACATTTCAAAACGACTCACCCTCCTTGTCACTCAACGGCCATTTGCTGGAATCATAAAACTGCGATCTTCTCACAAACGAAAACGGTTGAATTTGCATGTCTCCATATAGAGGAACAACTTCAAGTGACTGAAAAGTTACAAAATGATGCATCTATATGTATATTTGATCAACCCAGTCTGCTTATTTGTTTGTTTGTCACAAACTTCGTTGTCGAAGAATAACAGGGACAGAATGGGTCCGGTTTGGGATTTATAAAGCCATGGGTCAGTATGTCCGAAGCATGCATGAGCCAAGCGAAGAACGCCCATGGTGAGCGCCCCTTGATGTCCAAGGCCGAAAGCATAATTTGTATTTCATTTCAGACAGCCAGTGATCAGGAAAAGGTAGGCATCGAGTTGTCAAGTAGAATGAGAGATGCACCTATGGTGGATGAAGCGTTGTCTAAAAGGGTGGCTTGCTAAAAAAAATATCCGGCATTTAGAAAAACTTACGGAACAGAAATGAACTGGTGGAGAAAAGCAATGTCTAATTGTAAGGTGCACGAAGCAAACTTTAAATGTGCGGAAACACCCGCAGTGGGCTGGATTTGCGTAAAACAATATAACTCGGTCCTGAGATGGCATCAAAACTTGGGAGAAAATGAATTGAGCGCATGGAGGAGACGACCAAGTGCTATAAAGTGGGATTTGCGAAGCTGAATTAGAGATTAGCCCATACTTGCCAAAAATATAGTGTGCACGATAACTTGTGAGTAATGACTATAAGCGTTAAATATTGATACATGTAATCGCACGCGCAACAACGATACCTTAAAGATTTTGTCCAACCGGCTGATGTTCAACCTCTTCTTCTGGTCCATTTTAGCAACATTGGCTGTGTCGCCATCCATTAAAAAGAGAGAGAACGCAATTACCTGAACTTTTGTTTGTAATGAAACTAATCTTTACAAGACCGTTACTCTAAAGGCTGAAGATCAAGGAGACTTCCGGATACTAACTTTAACGAACATATGTCGCTCTGACGGAGCAAGGTAAAGGTGGCTTTCAAACATGTGAGCACAAATGTTTATGACGTCAGCGAGCAGCTCTTCGTACGCTTCAATCTAAATTTACACATGCGTGAAAAATCATCCAGAAACCAGCATCGGTACCAAAGGTGACGGTGTACCTTTATCATCTTTGCTCGTATATCATCTTTAATCTTGTTTTGTGTAGCTAAAAACATGCTCAGATTTTGCATATCGTGAATTGTCTGGGTATCCGACATCACTTGAAGGAATTGAGCAGATCTAAAATACATTTCTCTTCCTACACACGATGAAAAAGGGAGGAAAATACTAGAATCCACAGCAAAAAAGCAACTCACCTTCGGAAGGCAGAGAAGTCATTCTTAATGGAAGCCTTCATGTTCTTCAATTCGTCCAACACAGCGAACATATTCAAAAACCGGCCCAACGTCAACAAATATGCTTCAGAGACAAAATCCTAAACAAGCATGAGTGTAGTGTTAACTACATAAACCACCAAAGAAATAAACTGAGCTCACTTTTCGCTTTTCTATGTGACAGAGACGTCGAACTTCCTCGCAAAAACGTGAGATTGCGTCATTCTGGAGCATTATGATTGAGTTTTAGCATACACCTTATGTGGTATTCTGAGGATCTTGCTAATAGAGAAAATGAACAATGCAAAAAAAAACTACGGATCTCAAGATGCAACAAATAATATCGACCAATATCTCACCGTGAACAGCATAAATTGCTGCAACTTGTCGACTTCAGGCCTCAAAACTTCCACTACTTTCATGTTGATTTCAACACGATTTGGCTGATCATTCGACTTCACCTGAAACATCTGTTAAAAACATCCCTCAAGCACGGTTTCAGAGTGCAAACAGACTGTTGGAGCAGCTCGTGAGC